AGGCAACGGCCGCTTGCCTTCACCGTCTGTTTTTGGCGCCTAAGCCATGGTGAAGGCAACGGCCGCTTGCCTTCACTATGGTTTTGGTGGGCTGAAGGGGGGTGAGGGGTTGGGCCTGCCTTGGGCTCGAATTAAATGACTCGAACCTATCTAGCCTAGATGCAAGCCTAGCCTAGATGCAAGCCTGGTCCGAGGGGTTGGGCCTGCCTTGGGTATTACGCAACTGGGACCAAGTGGCACACAGTGGGAGGCTGAGGGGGGCTGAGGGGTTGGGCCTTCCTTGGGCTCGAATTAGATTACTCTGCTCCATCAAGCCTTACATGTGAACCAGCCAACCAGGCAACAGGGATCTGTGCGCCGGCCCGGGGGTCGGTGGATATATAGGAGACTACCCTAAACCCAACTTGGTTAACATGTCTTTTTCCAATTCCAGCAGGCTTTTCACAGCGGACCGTCCTTCATGCAGAATCTTTGCACGGCAGCATGGTATAAGGACGGCTTCGCGGTTCAGATCCTGGCATCCCGGCAAGGGAAGGAGTTCAAAGTGCGCGCTAAAACCTGGATTACCGAGGCCAACCTGTGGCGTGTCTGCCTCAGCATCCCCTGCTATTTGTAGAAGTGACTCCAGACCTCCGAGCAGCGAATATCTCTGCTTATCTGAGAGGCTTGGACGGGCCAGTGCAGCCAGAGTGGAGCATGGAGCGCTTTGCAAAGCTGGGCGTCCTCTGCTTCGCGGACACCACGCAGCCCTTCTGCAAGCACGCCCTGGATCTGAGGCTCTACCAGGCCCTCCAGGCGAGGCAGTCAACAACGTTAGTGTAGCTCCGTTTTAAGCTCCGATGTTTCCCCCGAGTCTCGCACGGCAGGCTGTGTGCATTTGGACCCTGGCCCTGTTGCTCCGTGCAATCGGGCTCAGAAATGGTGCCTCGAATCTTTGGGAGCCCTCTGGCGCCGCAGGTAATCGCGATTTCGATTTCTTTTTCCACTGTAAGGGAACCAGGGCGGTGTGCGAACCTTGGTTTGGCGAGGTTCTGCAACGCAGACGCCCTGTGTGCCACCATCCTCGTGAAGGGAGCCTTGAGCTTCCAGCGTGCCCGAAGGGTGCCGCATGACTTGGCGCAGCTGCAGAAGGCGATCCTCTCCAGCGCGCTGGGCCTCAGCCACCCGAGCCTCGTCTTTGACGGCGAGGGCGAGGCCGACGTTGGCATCGCCGAGCGCCAGGAACAGCTGCTGAGCCACTGTGCACTGCTGGCAGCCGCGAGTCTCAAGACAGCACGGCAGCTTGTACACAGCACGCGCTTCTTGGCCCCCAATTGGCTGAGGCCGTGGCCTCTGAGAATGAGCTCCTGGACTGTTTGTTATCTTATGACTGGGCAGCGGCAACGGACCTTGTGCCCGTGCTGGCTGCGCATCTGGCGGTAATGGCGAGCTCGACACAGCTCCCTCTTCCCCATCTTGAAGATGCTGCCACCAACTATCTGCGGCACCTGAAGCTCCGGTTACCTGGCTTCATAGCCTCATCTGTAGAAGCCACCTTTTCGGCAATTTGGCAAGGTCCCTGATTATTTGGGACATACTTCTCCTCGAGACCTCGCCTGAGCGCGGCTTCCTGCGTGACTGCGCGCAGCTCGCCTTCCACGTGGCTCCCAGCCCGGAAGCGGCCAGGTCCCTGGTCTCTCGGGTGAACGAGGCCGACGCCCTGGCCGTGGCGTTCTCCTGCGCCCTTCTGGCAAACGCAGGCCTGGGGCCGAAGGAGACGGCCGAGACGGCCAAGCTCTTCCACAAACTCTCCGCGGCGATGCGGGGACAGGCGAGGGCTCAACTGGAGATGACCAGTTTCTGGAGAAAGGACAAGGCCAGTCGGGCCCTGCTGGGACCATCCGCCATCTCATGTCGTGCCGCTACCGGAAGTTTCTCTTGCACGTGCTTGGACTCTGCTATGCCTGGTTATCACCGTGGCTCAAGTCAACATCGCAGGGACGAGTGCAGTATCATGCAGCTGCTAGCACTAGCTGCTAGCAGTAGTGGTAGGTTCACAGGTACCAACAGCGTATGCACCGGCACAAAACAAGCATCGTTTCACATCAAGCATCCTGGAGTCACAGTTTAACACCTTGCTGCCGCCATGTGGACTTCTCCCGTCTCGAAGCGGGAGGCTATGGATAAGAATGCCAGGGATTGGCAGATGGGATCGGACCTGGCGAACGAAGGGAGCCGGTTGTGGGGGAAGATGCAAGGCTACATCCAAGGACATACGCCCTTGGACACGGAGAGGCATTGCACGGATTGTCTTTTCATCCCCTTGTTCTTGGCTGCCATCGTTGGGCTTGGCCTTTGCATCAACCACGCCATGGAGAAGGGAAGCTTTCAGAGGCTGACGTCACTGCCGGATTTCGAGGGCCACCTTTGTGGAACGGACGGGCAGGGGCAGTACGTGTACTTCTGCCAGCAGGGCGGGACCTTGGATTTGCAGCACCAGATCTGCGTTCCCAGCTGTCCCGTTGACAGCAGCACTCAAATCTTCTGCCGAGGGACCGGCACAAACCAGCCCAGCTATGCCACGCACCCCGTGGCTGGCATGGTCTGCATGCCAGCAGCTGCCGAGGTCGCTTCACAGGCACGGCCGGGTGGAGGGGGCCAATCCGTCAAAATGCAATGTTTCAGCAGAGTGCCCTATTACGAAATCTCGGCATCTGCTTCTTCCCAAAAGGCTCAGGAGGGAGTGTGTGCTGAGGCGTGGCATGCTTGAGACAAGGCAGGCAGGGAGAAGAGAAGTCGGAACCGTGTCAGGTCAAGCACCTCTTCGACAGCAATCCCTACCTAAAGACGCTCTTCGAGCTCGTGGAGGTCACTTTCGACTGGGAGCAGCTCATTGTGGCAGCGGTGGTAGCCTCTGTCGTATCCTACCTCTACCTCTTTTGCATCTCCCTTTGTGCCTCCTTCTTGGTGTGGCTTTGTTTGATTGCTTTGGTGGTGCTGCCGACGTGTTTGGGTTTGGTCTATGTGTACATGTCTGCCAGCCCGGAGATCATTGTGCCCAACTCCTTCCCTGCAATGATCACATCGGGTGACACCCGGAACGACCTGACTGTGGGCCTCTCTCTCTGCGGGGTGGGCGGCCTCTTGGCATGCGTGGCGATGGTGAAGGCGAAGACCATACAGGCTGCAGTGGTCAGCATCGAGGAGGCGGCCGACTGCATCCGTCAGATGCCCGTCCTGGCTGTGGAGCCATGGATTTCAGTTGTCATCAAGCTGCTCTTCTTCGTGCCGGGCATGCTAGGCCTCCTGGCAAGCAGTGGGTAAGCAGATAGAGAGCAGAGCCTCTTGAAGTCTGTTGAACACAAACCTAACCTAGGTCTCCTTATGCTGAACGTGTCCGGAGACCTTCCGAGTCAAGTGGATTTCAGCCAGGGTCAGCCTGTCTACTCCGGGGATCCCATGGTGGCCATCTCCCTGGTCTACTACTTTGTGGTCTTCGTCTGGATCATGGAGCTTCTCCACTCCGTCTCGCAGTTTGTCGTGATGTTTACCGCTCAGGTCTGGTTTTTCAGAATGAAAGGCTACGAGACAAGCTTCTGGGCCCATTTCACAGCCTACGACATGCTTTGGGGTTTCATCTATGGCCTTGGCTACCATCTGGGCTCGCTCCTTTATGGATCCTTCCTGTGCACACTCTTCCGTGTGGCCCGAATCTTCGCTTCCTTGCTGATGCATGCCTCCCAAAATTCTGGCAACCCTGTTGCCGAATGCGTGGCCAAATGCTTTGTTTGTTGTCTGTCCTGCGCAGAGAAGCTCATGCAATATGTCACCAGCATGGCATATTGCGACATTGTCATGAACTCCACCACATATTGCGAGGGTGCAGAGCATGCAGTGCAGATCGTAAGCGGGAATGCCAGCCAGTTGGTGGCAGTTGAGGGCTTGGCGACCATGTTCTCCTTCGTCGGTGTTGGGGTATCCTCTGCTGCGACTGCCGGAATCTGTTGGTTTCTCAGCACAACCTTCAGCCGCTACAGCAGTCCTGTCAGTGATCATTATGTCCCAGACAAACAAACGATGGTCATTTGTGCAGCAGTCATTGGTGCAGTCATGGCAGTTCCCTTCATGCATCTCTTTGATACGATCTGTGATACAGTGGTCTACTGCAATGCGACCAGCAGCTTTCGCCTGCCTACATGGCAAAGCTCCAGCGGAAACGGCGGATTCTGGGGATGGTTCACTGGCCACTAGAGCGACTAAACCATGCAAGAGCGGCAGAGCCATGATTGAAGTCCCTGAGACAAGGCTGAGCCTTTGAAGATTTGAGCAAAAAGCCTTTAGTTAAACTACAGTGCCATAGCTTCGACGAGCGTCGCATTGAATTCATCTGCCAGAAAGCTGGCACGCCTGCCACCGCAAAGCACGCACAGGGTGAACCCAGCTAAAGAAGGAGTGTTCGCTCCAGACTGACGACTGTACACGCGGATGTTTTGGGTTGCAGCATCGCGTCTGGCTTCATCCTGTGCACGGAGGGCAGGTTCTGCAACGATCTTGCACTGATGACTCTGCGCTGCCCAAAGCTAGTGCGATGCTCTGCGGGGCTTCCTGTAGCCACGGTAGCCACGCGTGAAACGCCTGTGCCTTGCCCCTCGCGGCTCCGCGCTGTAGGCGGATGACTGGCTGTCGCTTTTCGGCCTGGAGCCCAAAGAGGCGGGAAGCTCGGGGTGCCCGAAGATAAACCTTTGCGTTCTCTTTGAAGCCGCCTAGCCGCATGGTGAATCTCCGGTTGCATGGTAAGGAAAGATCTGCAGCAGACTCGTGTCTCTCTCGCCCATGGGACAGCAAGCACAGCCGCACACACAACAAACCGGGGAGCTTAGGTGCACAGGGTGCCCGAACATAACGCAACAGCACACGGCAGGAACCCATGCTCGGGCCTACGGAGAACCTTTTGCAGCCCTGACGAGGCGAAACCGAAAAGGCCGGAGCCGGAGCGCAGCACCGTGCTTGCTGAGAGCAGGAAAGGGTCAGTGCCAGAGGTCCCTCGCTTCCAGCGCTGTTTCTTGGAGACTTTTTGTGCAGGAGGCGAGCACCTTCAACTCCTGGACTTCGAGATCTCATGTCTGACGTTCCCAAGGAGTTTTGCTGCGCACTGGATGGCAGGCTCGTGAGCAAAGGGGGCAGTGTCAAGCATCCTCTCTGTCACACACACACACGCACACACAGTCTCTCTCTCTCTCTCTCCCGCTCTCTCTCTCTCTCTCTCTCTCTCTCTGTCCCTCTCTGTCTCTCCCCGTCTCTCTCTCTCTCTCTCTCTTCTCTCTTCTCTCTTCTCTCTTCCCAATCTCTCTCTCGCACATACGCAGCAGGTGGTCTCTCTGCTCGGTTGTGTTTGGTGCTGCGGCACAGGCCCACGCATGTGCTCAGGCTGCTTGTGGATCCAGTCCGCACGCCGGGCGGCCGCGTCTACGAGCGCTCAGTGCTGGCCAAGACACTGGCGGAAGGACGCCAGGGACTCGTGGCGAGACGATGGTGAGTCTCCGACGTCCATTTCAAGCTGTGTCGAAAAGGGTCTTGTAGCGCGAGACCCTGGGGTGTCAAGAAACGGCATGCAGCCGTTCGTCGACTTCAGAGCGGCTCACGAAGTGCTCGAGGGCCTTGGTTGTATCGCTCGAATAGCCAAAAAGAGCTCGTGCAGTCCACAATCCTGTTTCAGCTCTTTGCTTGTACGGAATTTCGTGCCGCTGCAGCCGCATGCGCTGCCTGAGCTCTAGATAGGTTGATGTCTCCCGAGCTTTCTAAAGCTTGCTAGGCCAGGTCAGGTGTTCCCAAAGACGTGTAGCTGACTGCACTTTAGAGCGTCTCGGAGAGGTGCCCAAGCGCATCACATGTTCTGCAGAGCAAGGAAGGTGAGAGTTGCTCAGCTGAGACGTCAGGAGATCCTCGTGTGCTTTCCGACAGCCCGTACACCCTGCAAGACTGCCAGCGAGACGCAGGCCGGGAAAAGGCATTCCACATCATCCCATCTCATCCCGTCTCCGACTTCTCCGACTTTGCATTGTTGGCACATGTTCCCATTTCTGCTTTCTGGAAGCCAGGCTTGCGAGCCAGGATCGTCGATTGGGTTCGAAGCACTCACTCCCAAAGCAAGGAGAAAAGGAGCAGCGGATTCTTTGTCCTCATGCATCGTCTGTCGTCGTGTGTTTTGTAGGAATTCTCAGCAGCAGCGGACTACCCAATTGTGGCGTCCTGGTCCTTTGATCATGGCAGCCCAACATCCAAAAGGCAAGCCGCACTTCTTCAACAAGAGGCATAGTAGATGCGGGGTTTGCTGTTTGGCTCCGATGTGCTCGTCCACAACGCGCAGCATGGGTGCCAGCCGACAGTCGAGATTGAAGAGGCTTTGCTTCACTTTGGCTTGGTCCGGTTCACTGGCCCAAGACGGCTTGGCAGATGCTGTCGTGGAGTGGATTGGTGTCTTTGTCTTCCGTGCAGGTTCAGACAGGCTGGCTGCGACAGCATCAGCTGAGGAAGTGGAGATGCTCACCAAGCTGACCGGGTTGGCCGACATTGCCTACGATATCCTACGATGACGAGGCCCTTGGCGCGAAGTTGCCAGATGGATTGACGCTACGAGCTGTGGGTCGTGAGCGTGCGGTGTGGTTCATGGCGCAAGAACTTGGAACTGTGTTTTTGGTTTTCCGTGGCACTTCGGAATGGAAAGATGTACTTGCCAACGTACAGGTCTCGCCGGACGTCTCTAGAAACCATCGGGTTCACGGTGGTTTCACATGTCATGTCAGCCAGAAAGCAAACCCTATACTTGAGACAGAGCTGGCAAGGCTTCCAAGGCTGCAATTTCCACCTCCTGGGGCACTGGCTCGGAGGTGCCATGGCTTTAGCCCTCGTTGCATCAGCCTTCCAGAGGAGCTAGGAAGCGCGGAGGTGACAATCATAGGCTCTGTGAATCACGGAGACATCGTTCCACGCCTGCTGGGCAATCGGAAGGTGGACATTTCGCACCACTTGAAGCACATCAAGCAATTAGAAATTCGAGACGAAGATTTGCCAGTTCTGGCGAATTACAAGCACCCAGATTCAGATGGTTTGAACTTGGTAGTGCTGCGAGGCACACAAGCATTGAAGCCATCACCACCTCTTTCATGATCAGGTTTGGCTGGATCCGACGGCCCTTGCAGGCATGAAATGGGACCCTGTGACGGATCCAAATGACGGAGTAGGTGCAGTCACTCGACTCCCTCCGTCCAAGTTAGGTCAAGGAGACTCCAGTCGCTGCAGTCGCTGCAAGTCTTGGGCGATGCTACCACCTCGGAGATGTGTGCCGATCCACCCGGAAGGCTACCGGGAACGATCCGGGCCACTTGCCACCAGGTTCCCCGTTGTGTACAGAAGTTTCCAGCTCAAGCCCAAGACACGAAGCCAGGAGGCACGGCAAAATCTGCCACAGCACGGAAGCAATTGCAAGCATATTTCCCACCGCATGTGACATGCTCTTCGCTGAGCCTGTACTGTGCTGCGCGCGTCAGAACGGGTGGGCAGGATGTGGATGAAATTCAGTTGCGCAAGCGTCCCAGTCATGTGAAAGCATGGTCGCTGGCAAGTGGCTCTCTTTCCACGATTCAAGGTGGCAGCTAGATGGAAACAATTGCATCTCCCTCTTCGAGTTGAGTCGTGCGGCACGACGGGTAGAACATGATTATGTGCAATTGTCGCACTTAATTTCGTGTACTTCAGAATGCTCTGACGGACGAAGTACCTTCGGCCCCCTCCTGCCGCCAGCGGCGCGCTTCGCAGCATGTCATGCTCCTTGCGCGGGTGGTCAAGGACTGCTCGTGATGCTCGTATGGTCTTGTGCTTGCTGGTTCCAACTCTGCATGGCATGCATCTGCAGCCTGCTCTGCCTGTGATCTTGTGGTCAAGCAGCAAAGTAATTATGCTGTAACGGCTGGGTGCTGATGGCATCTGTGCTCGCCAGGTCGCGCCCCGCTTCCCTGGGGCACTGGGAGGCAGCTGCGCCCACTGCCGGCTTCTGGGGTTCTTGTGCTCGAACGAGTACTCGTAGGTTCAAGTCAAGCAATTTCTGCGACAGCAATTTCCGCAGAGAGCCGTGGAAAGCCCTTCTGGTTCAAGTCTCCCAGTCTACCTCCCTGTGGCTTTCTCCAGCCATGTGTCTTTGCTGCAGGGAGGGGATGTCAGGTGAGCGCTTCGGGGACGGCACATGTAAGGTCCTCGCTCGCCCCCACGCTTTGCCGCGGATTCCGCAAGGGCATGGTGCCCCCGGCGGTTACCGCTGTGCAGAGGAGGCTCGCCCTTCCACGGATCTGCAGAGCGTCGATGCGTGACGCGTGCAGGTTCTTGAACTTGCACGAGTACCAGGTCAGCGTAGCAAAGCACACTCCCTTCCTCCCGTTTGTGTTCGAACTTTTGTAAATGGAATGTTGTGAGTTAGGAATCATGCACGGGGTCTTGCAGCTTTGCAGGCACAGATCATCTTCCAGAAGCCGCTTGGGTGCAAGCTTCAACAGTCGCTGTTTCGGTTTCCGCGAGCGTTTGATGGCCGTGCCTGCTGCCTGGGCAGGTTTGGAGTCGGAGTGCCGAAGAACCTGCCAGCTTTCTCTGTCACAGAAGCAGTGGAGAAGGCCAAGGAGATCCCTGGTGACGAGGTGGTGGCAGTGGCCTCAGCAAGGGCTCCTGCAGTGTAAGTGGGTTCATAAACGAACCCATGCTGTACCAGACCAGAGCCCTGGAAGCCCAGGTGAAGGCCCAGGTTCTCGCTGGCGGCCGAGGCCTGGGCCACTTCAAGGCCGGGTTGCGCTTGTCCTGTCCTTGCATGTTCACAATCTCCATTCTCTGCTGCATGTCCTCGGGTGTCGTGGCTCTTCTTGTGGATGATCTTGATGTGGTTTCGAGCATTGGCGGTCTAATGATGATCGCGTGTTTATTGCCGGAGAGCGTACTGTGGAAAAGCGTCCGCGATCAATCTCTTGCAGGGTCCGGGGCTGCCATGGATCCTGTAGCCATGACGCAACGAGGATGTGCGCCTCAGCTCGCGCTCGATGGAGCAATAGAGGATCCACGAGGAGGTTGCCCAGCGGACAACGCTATAAAATGTTACCAAAGGGGGAACATCCCCGGTGGGCGAGATACCCCTTGAACAAAGCATGTGACGATGATGGTGATGGTGGTGATGATGATCATGAGGAGGGTGATGATTGGTGTGCCTGCTGTTGGTGTCTGTGGTTTGTCCTCCTTCACATCTTTGCCCCTGTCCTCTGTCTTTGCCTTCCTGTCGTCGTTTTCTTCAGGGTGATTGTAAGCGTCTTCGTACTCGTGTTCCTCGGAGGATTGGGAGGCTAATGACGTGTTGGAATGCATGCAAGTCTCCAAAAAGCCGTTAGAGGCCGTCCACCTGAGTAGAGAGCACGCTTCGAGTCAGGAGCCAGTTTCGGTTCTGACATCAGGAGAACAGCTTCCAGGGCGGAGTGCACATCGTGCCCAAGTCCAAGGTCGCCGAGATTGCCGAGAAAATGCTCGGAAAGACGCGGCTCGGTGTGACGGCGTAACCCAATGCCAAGCTCAAGAATTTGAGACCATGTTCGATTCCCAGGCCTGCTAGGTGCGAAGCGGAAAATGTCCTGTAAAACTTCTCATGACAAGACCTCGACCCAACCGCAACGAGCCCTTCCCTCCTAGAATGCAGGATGCAGTAGGATCCTTTGCATGCTTGTAAGGCCCTCCTCCCGGAGGGCCTTGCCGAAGCTCTAGATGCATCGAGGCTCATCACCAAGCAGACTGGGGAGGAGGGCAAGCCCAACAACACGCAGCTCGGATGAGAAAAGGGCTCAAGCTTCGAGATGTAGCCTCTCGTGACCTTGCTACCTCTGACAAGGGTGCTCCTGGCCGAGAAGGTCTCCATCAAAGATGCGTCTCGTCCTGCATTCGGGCAAGGGCAGGTGCGCAGCAGCCGCAAGGGGGGAACCCTCTGAGTGCTGCAGGAGAAGTATTTCGCCATCCTCATGGACCGGGCAAGCGGCGGCCCGCTCATGATCGGCAGCAAGACGGGAGGAACCTCCATCGAGGACGGGCCGATCGCTCCGTGTGCCTCCATGTAGGTGCCGTTTGAACGATGGCGCAGGACATCGCAGCAGCGGACCCCACGGCCATCATCAGAACACCGGTGGACATCATCGAAGGCCTCCCGTGTGCATCGCCGGCTTTGCTGTTTTTCGCGAAGTTGGAGCTTTCGGGAAATGATTTCCAATCCCTCAAGGGGCTTACAGGTCACGTGACTTCAACTGAAGCCCAGACGGTGTCATGTCATGTTCGGGGGTTATGAAGCCAGTGGTACACAGTGAGGCACAAGACGTGTTTTCCTTCTTTTCCAGCGTGTCGTAAACCATGCCTTTGGGCAGGAATGAATGTCGAATTTTCGCAGGCTGGAGTCCGCATTTTGTGACCCCTAGCTCGACTTTCGTTGGACGTGGTCAGCAAATCACAGTTTAGGCCGTGTGGATCAAAGAGCGCCCGCCCAGTTGTGAAGATCGCCCATGATCAGCTCTGCCAGTTCTTGCCGTGCAGCCAGATCTCGACCGTCGCACGCTCATGCACCAAGTCGTGGGTGTCACTGTTTCGCAACACGGAGCATGAAACGGAGGATTAACAAAAACTTGTCGTCTTGAACTTGTGTCATCATGGTCAGCATAGCTTGTCATCTTTTGGACAGCATTACTAGCTGGGGTTACAACAAACACGCGATTGCAGCACACTTGATTAAAGAAAGAGGGTTCGGGGTTTGGATTCTACGGTTTGCAGGATGTGGGTTTTGGGGTATTTGCTTCAGTGAACTTTGCCACGGTTCTTCTCTGTTCAAAATGGGTTTATGTCTTTAAAGGTTTGAGCTGCGGGAGTTTGAGGTTCAAAGATTTTTGGGTTTAAGGCTTATGTTTCTAGGATATGGGGATTTAGGAGTTGAGGGACGGGTTTGGCTAAGGGCATAAAGGGCTCTGCGGTTCAGGGTAACGTGCAGGGTTCGTTCGGTTGGGTACAAGCCTGTGCAAATCCGCCGTCCAGCGCGAAGAATCTGATGTGCGAAACCGGCGCGCGCAAAGGCGAATTACAGGTGTGTGAATCTTCGCCTGTGGCGAAGCCACTGTCGCTGTCTGGAGACGGAGAATCAACCCTTGCGCATCCACGGTGCCCGAATCTGCCCCGGTCCGTGCAGGGCAGAGCTCTCGCCCCATCTCGCCCCGTTGTCCCAGTCCAGTCCATGGCTCTGGGTCTCGTCTTTTGGGGAAGGCATCAAGATGCCGGATGCCGAGAAGATGGCGACCGAGATGGGCTTCAGCGGGGCCCAGGCAAAGGAAGCGGCTGCTTGGATCAGATCAGTCAGACATCTGCATGGCATTTACCTCCAATCTACAGTCACCAAGGCAGAGACACTGCAGTACAGTCGCACAGCTCAGTGTCGTTTTCGGAGATGGCGCTTGTCCGAGGCAACCCTGATGGCCAATCTCTACAAGGACGGGATTTCTTATCACACCGGCACGAAGCGGCATGCAGCTGGACCACACAG